GTCCGTTCGTCCAGGAAAAGTTTTTTAAAAAAAAAAAAAAATTTTTTTTTTTTTATTTAAAAAAAAATCTGATCCAAATCTATTCAGATCGGATCAGATTTTCTTGTGTTATGATCTGATCCGATCCAAAATTAATCAAATCAGATTTTTTTTAAATCTGATCTGATCTACGGATCAGAATTTTGAAAACCGAACCGGATCTGACTCAGATCAAATCTGCGGATCCAGATCAGATCGGATTTTTTTCGGAGTGCTTCTAACAGATCAGATCAGATCAGATTTTACTTAGATTCAATCTGATCTGAAATTAATTAAATCTGATCTGATCTGATCTGATCTGAATCAGATCAGTTTAAATTTAATCTGAATCAGATCAGATTTAATTAGATTCAAATCTGATCTGATATGATTCAAAACTGATTAAATCTGATCTGATCTGGATCTGATCTGATCTGATTTGAATCTGATTTGAATCTGAATAAATATATTATAAATTCTAAAGCTATAATTTGTAAATATGTAATTCGGCCAGAATTATGCACTTAACTCTGGCAGGAATTATTGAATTTCCTAAAAAGGAAATTTAGGTTACACAAAATGCCAACTTGGTTCCTATAAAAATCGATTTTTTTGTGGAACGGCTATCACCAAAAAAGGAAATGATCGACATATCCGTTTTGGCTGGAGTTAAAAATTAGGAATTAATTCCAGCCGGCATTATGAATTCGGCTGAAATTATTAGTAAAATCAAATCTGAAATCTGAATCAAATCTGTCAGATTCAATCTGAATCTGATCTGATTTGATCTGATTTGATCTGAAGCTAATCTGATTTGTTCAGATCAAATTTTTTTTGATCCGAATCTGAACTGCAGATTAAATTTATCTGATCTGATCAGATCAGATTTTTTTCGGAGCACTATCTTAGACAATTCGTATGGATGTTAATGGCGACACTGTTAAACTATATTACTGCCACCTTTTTTATTTTTTTAGGCTCCCAGATGATCTAAACAACATTATATTCTTCATGGTAGGTTCTTTGTATGGTGTTAATGACATATTATTTAATAATGTTACCGCTTTTTTTTCTATTTTTTTTAGATTTCTGGATGATTCTTGGACGTGGTCAGTAAATTTCTTTGGATAATTATGTGATGGCGTTAATTGTAGTACTAACACCATTATTTATTATATTTTTTAGGCTTTTGAACAATTTTTGGGTGAAACATCATGGTACGTTAGTTCTTTAAATGGTGTGAAAATGGTACTATTAAACAAAACTAATAATGCCTTCTTATTTTTGTAGGTTTTTTGGATGGGAAACATAGACGTGATGAGATATCAAAGACATCTGAGACGTATTAGAAGTTGTTTATTGGAATCGAACTAACTGGGACAATGTTCCAAACCATTAACAACATAGTTTAGAAAGATAAAATATTAATGTAACGCATATAATAAATATCTAGTTTTAAGTAAATAAAATAAATAAATGATGTTTATTAATAAATAATAATATATAATACACATAAAAATCAGTAAAATATCGGGATATATCAGGATATAATCAATGAAACATCGTATTTTGATAATATAAATATCATTGAAATATCAAGAAACCAATATGATTATGAAATTTATACGATACGAGTATGATATGCAATAACCCGATATGTAACTTTTATGTAACCTATTTGTTTCAGATATAGGTGAGACATCGGTATAGCAAATCGTTGACATATCAGACCACTATACATGATATATCGTACAGATATCAGGTATATGAAATCTGACTGATACCTCATCATTTGACCGGTGATAGAGGGCCAGCACCCTCATTATAGAACCAGGCATTCAAACAAGAATAGAAAGCCAATACCAACAATGTAGAATTTATTATGTAAACGAATTAGGAGCAAGAAGAAAGCAGTCACCGTTAGATCATGACATCACCATTAAAATAAAGCACTACTAGTTACCATTAGACTATGAAGTTACCACCATATTATACAGGAAACAGTTGAAACAATATTAAAAACGCAAAGGAGCTACCCATAAGTAGATTATGAAAGCCCTATCAGATTATGAATAATAGGTTATGAAGTTACTAGGACCCCGGATATCTAATATAAAGGTCATAATGGACTTTTGGCCAAAAATACCCCTTTTTGCTGAAACTCAAAAAATCGTTTTTTGTAAATATCTCAGCATCCAGTAATTCAATTTTAATGAACCTTTTTTTATTTTGTAGCCCTCATTTAGCTCTACAATTTAAAAAAATGTTCATCAAAATTGGACCACTGAATGCCGAGATATTTACAAAAAACGATTTTTTGAGCCCCTGAAAAATGGGCCAATCTGCCGAAAGTGTGACTTATGACCTGTTTTGGAGATATCCGGGGTCCTAAGTTACTGCCAGAATATGAAATTAGATTATGATATCACTGTCAGACTATGAAGTTACCTATAAATTATGAAGCTACCGGTAGACTATGAAGTTACCTATAGATTATGAAGCTACCGGTAGAATATGAAGTTACTTATAGATTATGAAGTTACCGGCAGACTATGAAGTTACCTATAGATTATGAAGTTGCTTTCATAACCTAATCTAAGTCGCCGGTAACTTCATGATATAATTATATCATGAAGTTACCAGCGACTTTTCTTTATATTTCTCACACCAACTAACACGAGCTAATGCATGCTTTTTTGATACAAAAGGTTTTTTTTCTGCAACATGGGAATGGATTCCAGCATCATATAGTGTCTGTCTAGCAGTTATTAGACTGCAACTTAAGCCCAATGTATTAATAATTTCATGTAAAGGTTCGCGTCTGTTCTTCTTAACTTCATTTATAAGTGCATTTTTCTCATTATTATTGAGAACAGGTGGCCGTCCTGATCACAGTAAATTTTCAGTCACCCCTGTCTTCTTGTATTTGTCAATAAATCTACGTATTGTGGTAGGGTCACGCCCCATTTTTCTTGCTATTTGTGCAGGGTTAAAATTTTCCATATATGCTAATATTTTTCCTTTCTCCAGAGGAGATAATTCAGTATAATGTGACATAATTTTTTTAACTGTGCAATGCGTTCATCAGGTCATAAAATTATGAGGAAAACATTTAAAATAATAAAAAATAGGGATATAAATAATTTAAATTGGGTGTATCATTACACAACGAAAAATTGGGCGATACTTTTTGAGGCGACTGTACTATCTTTTATATGCTATCTTTTAATATGTTATTTTTAATATACTATTTTATATACTATTTTATATGTTATCTTTTCTATCTTTCAAATATTACATCGTAAAGAAATAATTTATAACCCATCTTTTGTGGCTGTACTATCCTTTCTTTAAAATAACATAATCTTTCAAATATTATATCGTAAAGAAATAATCCATCTTTTGTGACTATGCTATTTTTTCTTTAAAATAACATAATCTTTCAAATATTATATCATAAAGAAATAATCCATCTTTTGTGGCTGTGCTGTCTTTCTGTATCATCTTTTCATATTATCTTTCATATTATCTTTTGTATCATCTTTTATATTATCTTTTGTTTTTCAATATTTCATGTATTTTCATTAAATTCGATTTTAATTCGCTATCGTCCCATTTTATACGTTGTTTCTATAATCTATCTTTTGTGGTTTATAGTTTCTCCTTCTAATTATTCCTGTTGATAAACTTGATAAACTGGTTGCTAAGCCGCATCGATCGACCTCCTGATTGATCTATTGGTTCATCGTTAATCATTTAATAAAAATTACATCATGTAGATCATTCCTTCTAAAGCTCCGAACAGGTCAGCCAAATTCAGGTAACCTGACCTGACCTGACCTGAAATTCAGGTCAGGTATGAGATTTTTAAAAAAAATTCAGGTCAGGTATGAAGATTGACCTGACCTGATTGACCTGTTGACCTGAAACTATTGATTCTACTATATAATAAAAGTGAGTTGCAGTATTGCGATTCACTTTTTTATATTGATTTTATATAATAAAAGTGAGTTGCAATACCGCAACTCACTTTTTTTATATAGAATTTATATAAAAAAGTGAATCGCAATACCGCAACTCACTTTTTTTATATAGAATCTATATAAAAAAGTGAATCACAATACCGCAACTCACTTTTTTTATACAAAATCAATATAAAAATGTTGAATCGTAATATTTCGAGAAAAAATGTTGCGAAAATGTTTTTTCATAATATTATATTAAAAAAATGTTTCGTAACATTTTTTTTTGATATTTCAATAATAACGTTGCGAAAACATTTTTTTCATAATGTTATATTAAAAAAAACGTTTTGCAATATTTTTTTCAATATTTTAATAAAAAACGTTGCAAATAAGGTTGCTTGTCTAAACCTCTTCAAAATCCTACGATTAGTTTCGTCAAAATTTTACTATAGATTTATTATAGTTTTGGCAGAGTTTCGGCAGTTTCGGCATTTATAATAAGTTTCGGCAGTTTCGCCTTTCTCCAAAGTTTCGCCAGTTTTTTAATATAACTTTAATATAGTTTCGGCAGAATTTCGCTTTTTGGCGAAACGCCATCTTGCCTAAACCCCTAGGTTTCGGCAAGCAACCTTAGTTGCAAAAACGTTTTTTTTCATAATATTATATTAAAAAAAAAAAAGTTTTGTACTGTTTTTTTTCAATACTTTAATAAAAATAGTCCTGAAATTTTTCAGGTTTCAGGTCAAGTCAGGTCAAACAGACAACCTGATATAACCTGACCTGACCTGACCTGAAAAAAAATTCCAGGTCAGGTTTATCAATTAACCTGACCTGACCTGACCCATTCAGAGCTCTAATTCCTTCTCCTAAATATTTATCCTTTCCGGCTAATTATTTATCATCATGTGACTTTCTACTGTATAATCTTCTATTCGATATATCATTTATTTATTCCATTAAGTTCGATACTCATGGTTACAGGCTTACAGCGCACAAAAAGTTTTTGAAAAAATACCAGAAATTTTCTGAAAAAATCTAAAAATCCTGGAAATTCATTTTTTGCATCAGAACATATGACTGGAACCAATAAAAAAAAAATTTTTTTATTTAATTGGCAATTCGGCATAAATTTATCGATATTCTAAAGTCTCAAATATTTTCATTATGTCTTTATTACAATATGGATTTAAGTATTAAAGAATTAATAATAGCTTGACTCAAAAAAATGAGAATTAATATTTTAACATTTTTATTATATATTAATAAAATTCTGGCATTTATAAAATTTACCAGAAATTTGCTGTACTATGTCTGAAAAAATTCTGGATTTAAAAAATTTTTACGGATTTATCAAAAAGCTTTTGGAAAATCTGGTAAAATTTAAATAGATTTTGTGCGCTGACCACCTCATTCACCCGCCGATCATGACCTATAAAAGGCTGAAAGGTCATACCAAAACCCCACTGATGAGTCATAATCGATACTAAAAATTTGGGCAGCTGCCCCTTATTTGATTTTGAGCTAATCACGTGCAATTAATTATAATCGGCACCAACGAAAAAAAATCTACACTTCGGCACTTAATTAAACGTTGAAAAAACTGAGAATAAAACAACCTAAGAATTTCTGGTTTTTTTAATATATACCTATTCTTTCTTTAACAAAATTTTTATTGACATTAGTTGGTAAGTTCTTTCACTTTTCTGACGGAAAAGAAATTCTTTGTTGTTTTTTAAGTATGTTAAACATTTTCTTTCTTTTTAGGAGACTGAATCAAAAACTTTTTTAGCAAAATGCCTCGTACTAAAAAACCTCGTGATGTCAAATATAGTAAATCACGAGCATTTACTCGCAATACTGAAATTCCAATACTTCAACCTATATTTCTTGAACAAACTTATAATTCAAATCCTACCAAATTTAATTTGCAACAAAGTGATTATGATGATGTTAATGATGATTTTATTGATGAAAGTATACCTGTTGATAGTGATGATAGTATTTATAGAGAAAAGCAAACTCGTTTGAATAAATCCTGGCAGTCAATTCATGTTCAACTTAAAGACGCGTTAATTGAGTTGAAAAGTCAATGTAATGTTGAAGAAAATATATGTCTTTATGGAAAATGTTATAATAATGAACTATTTAAAATAATTACAGTTGATTGTATTTATTTTGAACGTAAGTTAATTGTTATTTGTAAATATTTATAAAAATTTTATTAATTTATTTATTTATTTGTTTCTAAATGAAATTAAAAAACAATTCAATTTGTGTAATTGTGAACAGTCTAATTTGGCAGTTGTGTTAACACGCAGAGGATTATTTCCTGCTTCTCCTATAAATCCATTAATTGCATTTAAAATAAAATTATTAGAATTTGCAGAAAAACTACTTCTATTAGCACAAATATCATATGAAAGTTTTTGTATTGCTTTAAGGCATATTCATGATAATAAAGTATGTATAAATAATTATATCTTATGAATTTTAATATTTTTAACAATATTTAATTATTAATGATATTTAATTAAAATTTATAGCTTAGTAGTCATAAAAATATTTATAAACCTTTTATGTCTACTTTTAGACAATATATATTAGTTAAAAAAGAAAAAATTAAGTTTTTAACAGAACAAGTGGTTAAGAAACCTGAAGTTTTCTGTCCTGCATGTCCATTAGTAAGTATTTATTGATATTCTTAATATAAATAATTATATATACTTATCTTATATCTTTATTTTATTTAGAAAAATTCATGTAATTCAGGTTCTTTAAATAGATTAACTGTATGTTTTGATGGATGTTTTCAATTACGACGATTAAAAATTGGTGGAAATGATAATACAGAAGAAGATTATTATTCTAAATATTTTATGGATGATAAATTTTTTGATTTTGAAAAATTATATTTACAATATTTACAAAAAGAAAGTTCTGGGGTAAATTTTGATTAATAAATATTAAAAAGTTGAATTTAAATTAAATATTAAATAATTAATAATATGTTAGGAAAATGATCCATGTATGAAAGCTTTTAAGGCAGCAAATGAAAAAAATTCTAAAATACTTTCAAATGCATTGGATATTAGTGGAGTTGTTGGTACAACATGTAAACATGGAATTCCAATGAAATTTTTAAATATAAAAACAGGAGAAAGGTATTTATTTTTAAATAAATATTATATTATTAATTATTGTTATATTATTAAATTATTATTATTATTATTAGATTAGTATATTCTTTATTTTTATTAAATAATATTTTAGATGAATTTGGATCACAAATTAGTATGATATTGGATGTACAATGGCCAAACATTTAAAGGTAAATTATTTATAATATTAATAATTAATATAAATATATAATTAATTTATTATTAATATTTTTAATGTTAATAGAACAAACTAAATGAAACATCTTTACAATTAAAAGCTAAAGATGTATGGTATGCAGTTTCTGTATTTCATGCTTATGCTCATGAAGCTTTTTGTCAATGTATTTATCATCCAAGAAAAAGAGAAGGGTTTGGTCTTACTGATGGTAAATGGTTAGAAAGACTTTGGTCATATTTGGAAAGATTTACAAAAACTACTAGAATTATGACTCCAAGTCACCGTAAATTTATACTTTCATTAGCATTAGATCATTTTGCAGAAACCAGAATTCAAAAAATTGGTAATTATTTATAATTTGTATACAGTATATTTTTATATATTAATAACTTTATTATAATTGATTTTTAGGTCAAACATTAATTAAACAATATCAGCATGCTTTAGAATTAAAAGAAATTTCACAAAAAGATTTAGAAAAATTAGAATTGCAAAATTATTCTTTAGATACCATTAAGG